CCAGCCAGCTGCAATTTTTTCTTTGTTTTTTGAACGAAAATAGAAAAATTTTTTTTTTTAGTTATCATATCATTCAAATATGTGAATTTGTCGTCAGCAACAAAATGTAATCAACATCAATTGATTCTACTATTCATTGTGTATATGTAACAAGGAATATTCTTCTTCGTTTTTAAATTATTCAACAACAATCAAATGGTAAGTTTTTTTTTTGTTCCTCTGAGACATATTTAGAATTTGAATTTTAAATTTTTCAATAACCAAAAAAAAAATGATTGACAACAACAAAAAAAAAATCCTAAATCTTGGGCCCTTGAGCACATTGATTTTTATCAATTTTCATTCATTCGTTTTGTGAGATTTGTGTGATCATTAAAAAGAAATTTGTCTTCAAGATTTATTTTTTCGTTCGTTGAACATTTTTTCGTTTTCGTTTTTCAAACTCTAACGATCATCATCATTATATATATTTGGATGAAAAAAAAGAGAATTCAAAAGTCTAACATCAACAACAACAACAACAACAACGGCTGAAAAAATATCAGAAGTCAAGTTAATCTTTTTTCAAGTAAAAAAAAACGACACTGATAACAACAATAATGTTTAGCTATAGCGAAAAACGAAAAGTAATATTCCCGGAATAGAATATTTCCAGGAAATTTTTTTTTTTACTAAAGTTAATTTGAAACATTGTAAATAATGGAAATTTTTTTTTTTTTTTTTTGAAAGTCAAATGATGATGATAATGATAACATGTTATTGTTGACTTAACACTTTGTCTGCTGCTTTTTCATTGCAACTATTGTTTGGTTGTTGTTGTTTTGTATATTGAAAACCAAGAAACAAAAAAAAAAAAATCAAAATTTCCCTTCTCTGCTGTTGGTTGTTCGATGTTATTCAAGAATCAAAGCAGAAAAAAAAATTCTTTTAAAAATTTATATTCAAAACTTTCGGAAAGTTTTTTTTCCATCCATAACAAACAATTCTTGTCGTTGTTGTTGTTGTTGTTGTTGTTGTTTATTAATAATGAAGTTGGTGATGATTCTGATTCACCTATAGTGACTCTGTTGTCATCATTATTATGATGTGAATATTTTAATTTTCTAAACTTTATTCAACATCAAAAACCTATAGTCGTTTGTTGTGTGTGTGTGTGTGTGTGTGTGTGAATAAAAGATGCTGCACACTCACGCACACACACACACACACACACAGCAGATGTTATTTGATAAAAGAGAAAAAAAATTCAAAATTTAAAAATACTGACAAAATTGAACATGAATCTACGTGAGCGAAAAAAAAATGAAAACAAATCTGTCAACATTTGGTTGTTGTTGTTGTTGGAAAAAAAATATTGAAAGTTTGTCGTGTTTGACGCCAAACAGGGAAAAAAAAATTGAATACTTTTGCTTCGAAAATGAATGTATCCCACACACACACACACACACACAGACAGACACACGTAGACACCAAGTGTTCCAAGTGAGACTTTTAAAATTCAAATATGAAAAAAAATAGTAAATAAACAACATGGACTAAAAAAAAAAGTTGTGATTTTGACTGCTGCTGAAAATAAACGATGTTGTTGTCGACGAGAGAGAAAACAATATTCATCCACATATAACACACACACACACACACATGCACCGGTAGAAAAATTTCTTGGCCAATTTTTCTTCTTTTACTTACCGGAATTGCATTTCAAATTTCAATTTTTTTTTCTTGACTTTTCTCTTGTTTTATTTACTATCGTGCAATAATAATAATAATAATAAAGTGTAGGAGTGTATGAGATTCTGTCCGTTTCGTTTCTTTACAATAATGAAAACATCTGTGAATTTTTTTTTGGTTTGAAATAAAGAAAAAAAAATTAAATAAAATGAAAAACCAATTCATTCGTCGTTTGGTAACAAAAAAAAAATGTTTGATTTCTGCTTTCTCTCCATGTGTGTGTGTGTGTATGTTTTTTAAAATTTTCTTCAAACAAGAATTTTTTTTTGCCTTATCTTCAACCAATTCTTTTCCATTACTGTTGTTATTTGGTTGAAATTCTATCCAACAACTTTTTTTTATTTTAAAATCATTGAATTTGCTGATTCTATTGTGTGTGTGTGTGTGTCTATGTTTACTGTGTGGATGTGATGTGTGAATTGAATAGTTAAAAAGTGTTGGTGGCGGTGGTGGCGGTGGTGTTAAACAGAAATATATGTTTTTTCTCAATTTCTTAGTGTGTGTGTGTGTGCGTGTTGGAACAAATCATTTTTGTCTCTTTCATTTTTTTTTCACATTTTGTTGGTGTGTTCAAATTTCATTGATTTACTATTCACAGAACCAAAAGAAAAAAAAATTTTTTTTTTCATGTTTTGTGTATTGAAATTAAAAAGTTTTTTTTTTATTCCCATTTCCATTCTTTCTCTTCTGCTTGATGACTTGTAATTTGATCTTGGCATCCAGTCAAGGTTATCTGGTCTTCAATTTTTTTTTCACCATCCAATATCTTTGATTATTGATCGCTTTCGATGATATATAGAGAACAAAAAAAAAACAACAACAAACCAAATTCCAAACTAAATATAGAAAAAGCGAAAAAGATTAAATCAAAATCATCCAAACATTGAATGAATGGAACCAGATATATATGGTATATTGACATTATTTTTGGTTACCAATGTAATTTTTGGATGTTTTTTTTCTTCATTTTGCAAATCGGATTCTTCTATTTTGTTCAATGATTCTGTGTGATTTGATTCTTTTCCACTTGATTACATTTTTTTTTTTTTTATGTTCATCTTATCCATTTTCTTCTTTTCATTATGTCCAATTTTTTTACGGTATTTGTAATCGATTATTCTATACATGTTTGGTCTGTGTGTGTGTGTGTGTGTGTGTTGTAATCGGAATTACTCTGAAAAAAATCTAGATTCCATACACACACACACACACACACAACGAGTACACTTATCCATTCATGTCATTTATTTGCTACGTCATTGTAATGAAATTTCGTGATAATAATTATTCGTACAAGCTTAATATTCTGGCATGTATTTTTTTTTTTTTTAATGTATTTTTGATCTTTTAATTTTTTGGATTTGTAGTCGTTTTTTTTTGTTACAATACAATTTTATTATGGACCGTTAACATAAATCATGATCATGGCCATGAGAATTAAGCCTATTTTCATTATCCAAGATTATAAGAATATTCTGCTCATCACAATAGCCAAAAAAAAAACATTCTCTTGCAATATCCACTTATTGTATAATAATAATAACAATTTAAATCGATTAATCCGATTGATTTAATTTTTATTTTCAAATTAATTTAATTATCTTTTCGCATCAATTTATTGATTAATTTTGCACGAATGAAGAAAAGAAAACAAAAACAAAATTCTCCATGTTTTCTGGTTAAACAAAACAAAACAAAGAAATTTTGTCTGGACATTTTTGACAAGGCGAAAACTTTTTTCTTCTGCATCGATGATGATTATAATTGACCCTGTGTGTGCGTATATGATGTCCATTCAAACGTATCGAAAAGTATTGATTGACAAAAATGTAATAATAATAAAAATGGAAAAGTTTTTAGTGAATGAAAAAAAAAAAATTAACCAAATTAGATTGCCTGGTTTTTTTTCTCATCTTTTGATGGTGGCAAATATTATATTTCCAATTTTCAATACGATGATGATGATGATCATGTGTGCCATTCAATGTGTATGGATTAATTTCATTTTTTTTTTCGTTGTTTCATCAGAATAAGAATATGAGTCATTTGTTTTACATCAGTAAAACAATGATGATGACGACGGATATCACATTACGGAATTTTTTTTGTTGTTGTTGTTGTTGTTTATTCTGTAATGTTTTTCTTTTCATTTAATAATTTCAATTCAAATATAATACATCATCATCATCATCATCTCGTATGAAATATCTGACTATTTCTCTCTGTCTGTGTGTCTGTTTGTGTGTTTGTTGACACTATGTACACACTAACATGTTGTGTGCTCTATAGAGCAAGAAACGAGAAAAAAAAAAAAAAAAAAAATAAAATACATTTTCCTAATAATGAAATTTTCTTCTCTTGGTTCCATTTGACGTCATTCATTCATTCATCCATTCTTTAATCATCAGTGTTTCAATCGGTAGGGGCCATTAAAGAGATGATTAACCAGGCTTGTTCGAGTTTAGCCAGACAAGATTGAAACACTGGATAATCTACTACTCTCTGGTTTGTGTGGTGGTGGTGGTGTGTGTGTGTGTATGCAGCAGAATGGCAATAAAACAAAAATTTCATTTGGTCAATTGTATTTTGTGTTTTTTTTTTTTTTTTTTGGTTTCAATTTTCATTTTATTTTCGAATATATCCATTTATTCAACATTGAAGAAACAATAAAAGAAAACCAATGACAACGACATTATGAAATAGAAAAAAAACAATCGTTTCTAGATTGATTTGAAAGCATTCCGATTATTGTAATAATAATAATAATAATTGTCCCGAATCGGTAGTTTTCCAATACAAAATAACCACAATGAATTTAAGTCTTTTCTCCATTACCAATGAATTGATTCAGTACAGGTCCAATTTCTGCTTTGATTAATTGAATTTTTTTTTTTTCGTTTATTTCGCTCACCACAAAGATTTAGATTTTATTTTGGGCCAAAAGAAAAAAATAACAATTGATCTTTAAAAATCAAAACAAAAAGAAATGTCATACAATCAACGTATGTACACGGTGATGATGCTATTGTTTCATTGTTTGCATCATTCACTTCGTTCTCCATCATACGATTGTCCGACATAAAAAGCAAGTTCATCAACAACATTCAATTCATCATCCATCATCAACTATACAACGACAACAGAATCGGAAAAAATTATTTAATTGAAAACAAAAAAAAAAAACAAATTGTAAATATCATTTTTGTATTCACAAAAAAAAAATACATTATCAAACAATCCAATCCAATTCATCAAATTCACCAAAATCAAGAATAAAAAAAGAAAAAGAAAATCAACAATCAAATCACGATTACAAATGAATAATATGCGTGTTGTTTTTCTATTTGCCACCACTGTCATTTCATTGGTCTTGTTTATAGTCCTCGTTATGCAGGGTAATGCATTCAAATTGATCAATGTCATCAATTAATATTGATTTCATTATGTTTTTTTTTTCATTCATTCATTACTAGGTGCACCGTGGAATAATATACAAATATTTTTCTTATCGGTCATTATCATTATATTGATAGCAAGTTTAGTTGGTTTTATATTCGCTGCCATACGTAATTATTGTTGGACAACAACCATATCATATAGTAATCCAACACCAACAACGTTGTATACAAATCCACCACCAATTGGATCGGCTGAAGCTGAATTTCAGAATGAATATATACCTGTATTTCCAATGAGACAATTACAGCCACGTGTTGATCTTGATAAGCCTTATTAATGTGTAAAATCTACATACCAAATATTGAAGTCGCCGACAACAACAACAACAACAACAAAAACCAAGCAGCACAACAACAACAACAACAACCACAAAAATCTGGCCAAATCGATATAATTCCAGCGTCCTTTTCTTTTTTTTTTTTTTATTTGTTTTATGTATGTTACCCTATCTCTATGTCTAAGATTTGTGTAAATTAATTCTTGTTATATTCATTAAAAAGCGATTTTTTTTATTCAATCAAATAATTTTTGTTTTTTTTGTTTTACAATCAATAAATTAATCAATTAAAAGTTTCACATAATGCAACAACAGAAATTTGAAGATATAACTACAAATGGTTATTTGAGAGAAAATTTTAAAATCATAATCATCACCATCATCATCATCATCATCATCATATATTGCGTCTAATTTCAATATTTTTTCTTTATGTATCAATACTGATTGTATTAATCGATCGGTAGTTATCATTTTAACATCTATTTCTAGAAATCTAAGCGGATGGAATGGTTTAACACCTCGACTAGCATCCACTAATACGAATGTTTCTTGTCGTTGACAAAAATTTCTTGCATCATGACATGTTTCACGTACACAATAATCGGTAGCAAGACCACAAACAAAAATTTGATCGATTTTTTCGTTCTTAATTATTTCTTGTAATGTTTGTGATGATTGATGTAATGAATGTTCGACAAGTGTGCCACGAAATGCAGAAAAACATTCTTCATCACGTTTTAAACCTTTCATGATGGAAATTTTTTTAACCGTAGGATTCAATGATTGCGGTTCTGTTATGAGTCCAGCTGCATATTGTGCTCCCCATGTATTTTCCACACAATGTTCGGGCCATTTTTGTACCGGTGCTTTCGGTGTTACCGAACTTGAAATAAATGAACAATGATCGAAAGGATGACAATCACGGCTATAAACGATAAGATCAAATTTTACATATTGTAAAAGCCGATTAATGGCTGGTATTACTTCGGCAGCTTCTTCACCATTGAAAAAATTCTTCAATGACATTGATCCATTAACAAAATCATTTTGTACATCGACAATGATCAATGCCCAACGTCGAACAGTTTGGCTAGCTTGATGGCCATTCGTAATATTTGGTTTATCCAATATTGGTGATACAGCATCCGTATCTTCAAGATAATCTGACAACACAAATGGTGTATAATAATCTTTAATATTTTTACTACATACATAACCAAATGAATCAAAAATTAGATTAATTTTATAACAAAAAAAAAACACACATACTTACCATTGATCGTTGGAATTTTCCATGGTGAAAAGAAATACTATTGGTAATAATAAAATAATACAATAATGAAGATTCAATGTTATTTTAAAAAAAACTTGATTTGTTCGATTGATGTTGCGATCTCACTTGACCATCATCAAATACTACAGTTTGTGTGTATAAAACCGGTTGGTTTCAAACAATTTCTATTTCGATACTCGGTAGCTACACAATTAGAAAGAACCAGACAATTAATTAATTTGTTCAAAATTAATTCTTCAATATATTGAAGACATTACTGTGACAAAACATATGTCATATGATATATCGAATTATTGCTCATGTGCTGTGCATGTAAAATTAAGTGGATGCGACATCTAGTGAATACTAATAATAATAATAAATCACCAACAGCATCGCCATCTATTCACAAAAAAATAATTTATCTGGAAATTTAAAAAATGTTTTTTCTGTTATCAAAAAATGAAAAAAAAAATCTTACATAAGCATAATTTATAAAGAAAAAAAAATTATCAAAATTACTTAAAATATGCTTTCATTTGCAGAAATAAATCATTCGATTATTCATCATTAGCTGCATTGATTTTGTTCGTTCACGATCATTTGTTTTGGACACAGCAAAAATGAATTGAATTGAAGTGGATTTGGATTGTTTGTTTGTTTATTTTTCAATTAGATAATTCTTGAAAAATCCGGAATGATTGCATTGGATAGTGAAAAATTCTTCGTTTTCACCATCATCTTCGCCTTGATATGGACCACCGCCAACGGTGGCCAATCAACAATGAATTTGACACCGATAATATTGGGCAAGTATGATGATTTATAATCATTGATCATCCATATGTAATGGTCAAGTTTTTTTTTTGCTGGTTGTGTGTTGCAATTTTTAGTTCCAGGTGATGGTGGTAGTCAATTGGAAGCTAAACTGAATAAATCAAGTGTACCACATTATTTTTGTGATCGTCAAACAATGGATTATTTTAGTGTTTGGCTGAATCTTGAGTTATTAGTACCATTCATAATTGACTGTTGGGTAGATAATATGAAATTAATTTATGATAATCGTACCCGAACAACACATGATAATGATGGTGTTCAAATACGTGTACCGGGTTTCGGCAATACGACTACAGTTGAATATGTTGATCCAAGTCGTTTACCAATTTCTGGTTATTTTGGTCGAATGGTTGAACATTTTGTAGTGGATTTTGGTTATGAACGTGGCCAAAATATACGCGGTGCACCATATGATTTTCGTAAAGCTCCAAGTTTGTTATTTGAATTTTTCATTTTTCTAATATTAAAAAAAAATCTTAATTCAATCAATTTTCTGCTCTAGATGAACTACAAGATTACCTGAAATCGGTAAAAAAATTGATTGAACAGACATATCGTATGAATGGTGAACGACGTGTTGCAATCATATGTCATTCAATGGGATGTTTGGTCATGTTGAAATTTCTAAATGATCAGCAACAAAAGTGGAAAGATCATTATGTACAATCATTCATTACACTAGGTGGACCATGGGGTGGTTCGGTGAAATCAATCAAAGCCTTTATATCGGGTGATAATTTCGGTGTTATTGTTGCACCATCATTAACCATCCGTGATGATGAACGTACATTTCCAAGTCTTGCATATCTTTTACCAAATGATAATGTTTTCGATACCGATCGTGTTCTAGTGGAAACAAAGCAACGAAAATATTCCATAAAAAATTATCAACAATTATTCCATGATATTGATTACAATGTTGGTTATAATATGTGGTTAGATGTACGAAATATTACCTATGATCTGACCGCTCCAGGTGTTGAAGTTTATTGTATTCACGGCATTGGTCATGATACGATAAATAAATTAATTTATGATAAAAATCAATTTCCTGATCAACAACCTGATCGTATTGAATATGGTGATGGTGATGGTACGGTGAATGAAGAAAGTTTAAGTGCATGTAAACATTGGCATCATAAACAGAAACAGCCTGTCCATTATCTACCAATTCATGATATGGATCATATGCGTTTATTAAGTGATCAAAACATTATGGCCAATTTTCATCATGCATTAAAATCGTCGAAAAAAAATTCCGAAAAAAAAGAAAAAAATCCATGATTGATTGATCACGAATCGATTTATTTATTTATTTATTTAATTAGAAACAATATAAATTATTGCTTGTTTTTCACAAATAACGTGAATGAATGTTTTGATTTTTTTCCCATTCTCGGCATTGAAAAATTATGAGAATGTTAGATGTTAAAAGCATGTTTTTTCACATTAAATTTAATTCAATTTTAAATTGTTCCATTTTATTCATTTTCTTTAATTTGTCAACGTTTAATGATGATCCAATTTTTTTTGGACGGAAAACGATGTACTACTAACCTAATAAAATTTAGCAGAAAAATGGATGTTTTTTTTTGTTTATTGCCAAAAATGACCGGTATTTTCTGTGGTTATTGTTGACGAGTACGATGTACGATAGACCTTGGCCCAAAAAAAAAAAAAAAAAAATTAAGTTTCCATTTTAGTTTTGTGTTTCAGATTTTATTATTATTTTGGATCCCTCTTTTATCTCTACCATGTGTGTGTTTTTGGTTGTTGCCGTAGTCGTGGTAAGAACATCCTTCGATCAACAAAAAAAAAAATGAAATTTCAAACGTTTTATTTTTGCTGCTGGAAATTCATATATAAAGACCCATGATGATGTTACAGAAATCAATCTGATCAAAACGATTCAAGAATTTAAAACAAAATTTGACAAATCAATCAATCAATCGATAAAAAATGAAATTTTTTATTGTAACCATCTTAGCCATCACCGGCACCATTGTTTTGGCCAATGAAAATCCATCACCATCTTCAACATCGGGTAAATTGAATATGCAACAAGTGGAAGCATTGCTTCAACAAATTGAAAAAGATGAAGCTCGATTAAAACCCAACGTGCCGAATGATCCAACCGTTACGGTTGCATTGCAACAACTTTTCACTCAATTTCGTCAGGTACAGGTCAATTTTTGTTTTTGTTTTAAATTAATTTTTTGAAATTTATATTTAAAATTCTAGCTAACTGGTGCCTATGTTGATGTATTGAACGCAGTGAATAAACAAATTGGCCTGCCTAAATATCCAAAATTACCCGGATTAACACGTTATCGTCGTGGTATTCGTGAAACAGCACCATTCAAACAAATTATTGAAAATGTCGAGCAATTAGGTACAAGTATTTCAGAAGTTGGCCAATTAGTTACACGTACCGTATCAAGTATTAGTGATGATTCACGTAAAACCGTGATGAAACAATTTCAACAATTCACTGATTTATGGTCCAGTCAATTGAACGAAATTTCACGTATGTTTGATCCATCAGTAATGGCAATGTATAGTGCTAATGAATTACAAGGACGTGATGATAATGCAAATTTTGTTGATGAAGTACAACGTCAAGTACAACAATTGGTTAAAGATATTCAACGTTATGTGGATAATTTTGTAAATAGTATCCGTAATCGTGTTACAGGTTTAAGTAATCAGGTTTTTCCTGGTGAACGTAGACCAGTTTTAAGCATTTAAATTAATTAATTAATTTCAATCGAATCAATCATCTGAACATTTAACACTCATATTTCCACTTTCGTTATTATCATTTGAATTTGAAATTAAAAAAATTTGAACTTATTGATTGATTGATTAATTGTATCTTTTATTTATTGGCGCATTTTTTAACAATTTTTTTTTGGCCATCTGCTTTTCGTACATACAAATGTGAACATGGATAGAAAAAAAAATTTACCAACATCGAGCAACATGAGAAATATGATAACTCCAAATATTTTCTTCACGAACTTTAGTACCGGGTTTAGGTGCATTGACCATACGACCATGTGCCGATACAATACCAACATGATAGATTGGATTACCGAAAAATACCAGATCACCTGGTTGATGACTACCGTATGCAACATGATGACAATGGTTATCATTATATTGTGCTGCAGCTGTACGAGCAATTGTTTTATGTGTTCCCTGATAAATGGAATATTGTGCCAATCCAGAACAATCAAATCCAACGATATTTGCACCTTCACCAATACCTTTGGATTTACCATGAATACCACCACCACCCCATGAATATGGTACACCAATTTGTGATCGTGCTGCCTTTACAATATGTGAACCATCACCATAAACATGGTCTATGTTTGTATCGAATAAAAAAAAAATGAAAATTATTGATTAATTCAACGACAACAAATGTATAGTAATACTTACTGATGGCCAAAGCACAGAATAAAGTTAATGTTAAAAAGAATTTCATGATTATCGGCGATTATTATGATCGAGAAATGATCGAAAATTGAATGAAAATAAATTGGAAAAAATTGTCATTTATATATCAATCACACATGATGATGATTAATGTACTTTTTTCTTTTTTGACCTATAGATCAAAAAAATCATAAACACTTGTGATTTCATTACCAGATTAATTTAGAGTTAATTAATCACATGTGGATATTTGATTACATTGTTTTTTTTTGTATTTCTTTGATTCATACCTGAGTGTCGCAAGAAATTATTATTTTCAAATAATTTATCGTAAACATAGTGTAATATATCAGTGATGATATTGATATGGATTTTTTTTCACTTCTAAAATGGCTTATTGATTAATTAATTTATCTACGACGACGATAACCTCCCATCATTTTACCGCTGCCACCACCACCACTTCGATTGTCGTGTCTTCCCATCTTATTACCACCACCGCCAATTATGTTGTCTTGATATCCACCACCACCACCACTTCGGTTGCTGTATCCTCCCATCTTATTACCACCACCGCCCATCTTGGTGTCTTGATATCCGCCACCACCACCACTTCGGTTACTGTATCCTCCCATCTTATTACCACCACCGCCCATCATGTTATCTTGATATCCACCACCACCACCCATCATGTTGTCTTGATATCCACCACCACCACCACCCATATCACCACCACCATAACTCATCATTCCTCCTCCTCCTCCACCTCCATACATCATATCACCACCATAATTATTGGCCATCATCATTGGCATTGGCATCATCCTAAATAATGAAAAATTGTATTTTTAAAATTTCTAATTTTTTCTAAATTTTTAAATACAATTACATAGGCATCATCATCATACCGCCGCCACCGTAACTATTTCCGCCATAACTATCATCGCCACCACCACCACCACCACCGCCACCAATAATGATAAGATGTCCTTTATTTTTGCTACCACAATCGATTGATGATATATTCACAAGAATGATGACCATCGTAAACACAATGATAAATTGAACAAAATTTAAAGTCATGATGATTATTCAAGATGATCAGATGACATACAACACAGTGTTTACGAATCTTGTGTTTACAAACAATGGAATGTGATTTACCGATTTCGACTATTTATACTGAGGATAAATTGAGAGCAATGAAAACAAAAAATTCAATCACTCCAAGAAAATAGTGAGTATCGATTCGGTCGATTAAATTCTTTCATTTAATAATGATAATTTGTCTGATCAAAAAAAAAAAACATTTCAATCATGAGAAAACAACAATAACGTGAGTAAATCAATTAACAGAACAACAAAAAAAATTCTCACACTACATGTTAATATATCTATAGAAACCAATAATCAGATCATCAAGCTATTAATTAGAAAAAATTTCATCCGAAGAAATTTCTGGATGATGTTGGCCATTATTTTTAGTAACCCAGTTATTTGTCTGTTGTTGTTGTTTTTTTTTGTTGATGAAAATATTCTCATTAATTTCATTTGATTGATTTTTATTATTTTTTTTTCACCACCATCATCATCATCATAATCATCATCATCGTTCAAAGTCTTACCATTATCATCAAAAAGCCATAAATTTTATCATCATCATTGGAGATGAAATGAAATCATAATGATTATTTTTTTTTGATATCAACATGGAAAACCACAATGTTTTTGTTTTCCAAATGGCAAAAAAAGCCTTTGTTTTCAAATCAAATCAAATTAATTAATTATTGCATTTAATCATTAATCATCATTTTGCATTTTGTTTCCTTTTTTTGGTTTTTTAGTCTCATCACCACCACTACCACCAACACTACTACCGCCATCAATAATAATCATTGATTAAATGATGACAAATCAATCGATTTGAATCGATATGTCGATAATAGTGATAAGAAAAATGGTAAGTAAAATTAAGTAGGGTTTCACACACACACACACACACACACAACTTGAATACGGAAGTAAATCGAGATGATTTTTTTTCTGTTTGTTTGTTGTCCGTTTCCCATTGTGTGTGATAATAATCAAAATTGAATTTGATTCAATTCATTTCAATTGGTAATCCACAAGAGAGAAAAAGTCGTTCATCAGGATTTGCCTTTTTTCTCTCTCTAGCTCTCTAGTTTTCATTTCATCAATCCACTCGAACTTTGAATGGGAAGAAAAAAAAATAGATGAATGAATGAGAAAAAAAATAGAGTAGCAGGGTAGTAGGGGAATAACATGATTGAATGACGCCAAATTTATACATACACATGCTTTGATGATGTTGATGATGATGAGAGAAAGATAAAAATTGTTTGACGTCCGTTTGTTGCATACACACACACACACACACACACACATAGAGAGAGACTACATTGGTCATGTATATTTTTTGGTTAATTTCAGTTTGGTTCGTTATGAAATGTTTCAAGACGGATATCTATAATATATAAATCACCGGCCAATTATCATCATCATTATATGACATATATCGACGATCTATATGTCGTATTTAAATCAATTAATTAATGATATTGTTGTTGTTATTTGTGTTTTTTTTTTTTTTTTTTGGTAGTGGTCATTTTTTTCAATTTTTAATGTTCTGTATATATGGTGTACGTGCGTAATGATGTGGAAGAAACAAAATAGTGGGAAAATTTCCCAATTTTTTTTTTTGTTCTTTCATTCATTTTTTTGATTCATAAATAACCACAAATCAAATTTGGCCAAATGTGATCTTGATGGATGATCACTACTATATATCATATTTTGATTGAAAACAAATTTTTTTTTAAATATTCAATGTGTTGTTTGATGTTCAATAATGTCGATCGATCTCATAAATTGTGGATTTCAGTTGAGGAAATCAATGTATATCATCATAATCATCATTCTATACATATCATCATTCATAATGTACGGATGTGAAATGAAAAAAATTCCTTCAATTGATAATGATAACGATCAATGGATATTGATTGATGATTTTAATTTTGATAATTTTATTGTTGATAATCAAAAAAAATTTTGGCATCATAATTCCGATTGGCTAGTGGATGATGAACCAGAAAATCTTTGTATGGGTAAGTCAATGATGAAATGGATTTTTTTTTTGTTTTGACTTTTTTTTAAATTTCAGGCATGAATATCTATCAATATAGCTGCCATCGTAAAGAAAATGTTCAGGTGAATAAAAAAGGTTACCTGGAAATCATGGCCAATATTAATAAACATATAAAAACTGGTTCTCATGAACGTTTCCTATTTAATGGTGGCATGATTTCGACCAAGAAAAGTTGGCTTTATGGTCGTTTTGAAATGAGAGCCATATTACCTGAAGGTCGATCACTTCGTTCCGTTTTCATTCTTCGACCGGTGAAACCAAAATATTCGGGTGATTGGCTTTCGAATGGCCAAATAAATGGCCTGGTTTATGCACAACAACATAGCGCTATTATTGCCGGTATTCATTATAAAATGCCTGCTGGACAATCATATATGGGACGTAAATTATATACACAACGTAATATAACTCGTTCATTCAATCATTATACGATTGAATGGTCTGAACAATCGATTCGTTGGATGTTTAATGATTTTATATTTTTTCAACACAATGTTTCGAAACCATTTGATCAAAAATTCAATATAATACTACAATTGGGCGTTGGCGGGCCAGAATTTGATACCAGATCCGGTGCTTTGCAACAAGATGATTCAAAACATTGGCATAATAATCGTTTTATAATTGATTATGTTCGTATTTATCAACGTGCATCGAAAATTCAATTTTATTCACCATTATCATCAAGATCTTCTTCATCGTCATCATCAAGATTATCATTAGCTAGAATGTCGTGCAATTTATTATTAATTTTAATAATCATTTTACTTCGTAAATTATTTATATGAAATATAATTTTCATTATTCATTTTTTTTATTATTCAAATTAGTCACCTTGGTTTTGTTTCTTTTTTAGTGTTTTATTTTTCCACAAAAATTATTTTTTTGCTCATTAATAAATAAATTAATGATGATGATGATGATGATTTGTCAAAAAAAGGTAAAATTTAATCATTGGTTCATCGGTATGTTAACAGATGGCAGCACTTTCATGAATTTTGAATTTATAATATCATTTCAAAACACCACGTTTACTAAAAGAATTTCAATAGTTTGTAGCCGATCCACTGTATATATATCAACAAACCATTTATAGGGGCTTTGTTTTAGTTTATATACAAATGTGTAGAATAAGATTCGATTCGATTCGATCCGATTCGAGAATTATGATCCATAATCTTTCTTTTTTTTTCCTATTCATTGATTCTGATTTCTTTCCATCATCATCATCATCATCATAATTCTTTTTTCTTTTCGTTATGTTGCTATAATCATCATCATAATCGAAAAACAAATATTCCAGAAATATTCTCTTTCTCTCGGTTGTAAGTGTGTGTGTGTGTGTTGTGTTTGTGTTTGTGTGAGATGTTATTGCATGAATGAATAAATAGAAAAACGAGAAAATGATACAGAATAGATAAATTGTATTTACGTTCCGTTTTATAGTTACAATAATAATAATAATAATAATCACAAATAGAAATAGCGAAAAAATAAGTGAATGTGAAAAGGAAAAAAAACAAAAATGATGAATAAATGATTCAAACAAAGTAAAAGTAAACGTAAGTAAAAAAAAAAAAAGAAAAATGGAATAATACAGAGAGGAGATGGATAGATGACAATAAAACAACATAAAAACAAATGGGCAGGCAGATTGATCCAGTAGAATGGTGATGCTGATGATGATGATGATGATGATGATGGTGAGAATTTTATTCGTATTCATATGATTTCATTGATGATAAAAGAAAGAAAAAGTTTTTCCATTCTTTGGATAACTTTATAGAAATAATAATAATAATAATGATGATGATACAGAATATTCTTTTTCGCATGGAATATCAATGAATGTTGAGGATACAAGGAATGGAAATTATTATCATAAAAACCAATGAATATAATTGCTGTATAAATAACAATGATGATGATGGTGATAATGTTGTTATCGTTGCACCATTTCCAATAAAACTTTTCACTAAGAATCAAGAAAAAAAAGAATTAGGTAAGAAAAAAGAGTTAACACGAATACACATACCAGCTTCAACAGAATTACCATGATTTAATGATTGTTCCAATTCATGATTAGATCCACTAGAACTGGATGATGATGATGATGTACCATATAATTGTACAACTTCACTACTAACACTAATTACATTGGATAAAATTTGTATACATTCAAAATGATAGGAATCAATAGTCGATTGTTGTTGTTGTTTATCTATCGATACAACAACATTTGAATCATAATTAAGATTCGATGATGATAACTGCCGTTTATTATTCCAATTAACATTGTTGTTATTGTTGTTGTTGTTGTTCATTCGTTGTTGTCCATGTTGCCGTCGTTGATGTTGATGAGGATGACTGTGTAAATTACGTTGATGTTGATGACCATTATTGTCATTATTATTCTGTCCACCATTCAATGGATATTTTAAATCTAAACGTATGAAACCATTTTGATTGAAATCACTCTGTTTATAATCTAAATATTGAGCATCCACATGTTGTCCATTCAATAGCCAATATAATTCAGGCATTGGTTTATATTTGGATGAAATACAACGTAATGATATCGGTTCACCGAGATTATATTTTTTCTTAAAATTTTCGATTCTTGGTGCTAAACGATCTAATTGGAATGAATCAAAAGATGAAAAATCTTCATTTAACAAAAAAAAACAATGAATAAATTTACCTTGAAGATGATTATTATTAATATTATGATCCAATACCGGTACATATAACGTATGATTATTGATTGGATCAATTTTCCATTCAACACGTAGACTAGCCGTACGATTATAACGATGTATAATGGATGATGTACATTCAAATTGATTAATACGTTTGGTTTGTAACCATGAACCGGGAAATTGTACATTCACCGAAGTGGATGATTGACCATTTTCAAAATGACGATAATAAGTACGCATTATGACTTGATTATTTTTGATTACATCATTATCATTGACATTGACATTATTATTGTTACTATTGCTGGCAACCAAACTATTTCCATTCAAATTGACAACTAAACGTGCAGCTGGTGTTGACATTGGTGATGTACATGTCAAATTAACCGGTTCATTAGGTCCAAAATGTGATTTTTTACCAACAATTATTGGTTGACCATCACGTGGTATATCTATAAAAATTTGATATCAAACGAATGAATTCAACAAAAAAAAAATCAATCAATCAATCGTCACTAATAACTTACAATAGACACGAATTTTTTTGATTTGAATAGCCGTAGTAAAATCATTTTCAGCCAATACTTCACAACGGAAATTTGCTTCAGTCTTGAAATCGGCATGTAAAATGTAAAGATTTCCATAATTGGAACGAGATTCCTATTTATTTGATCAAATGAAAGCAAACCAGAAAAAAATGAATTAATAAGTGACCAGTAAGCCGAAAAAAAAATACACCACTAAACACACAGCGATCAGAAAATTTCCCAGTAAACAAAAAAAACGTTACAGAAAAAAAAATATTGTAAATAAATCAAATTAACTTCATCATCATCATAATGTTTACTCTGATGGTTTAGTAATTCTTTCATTTTTCAATAAGAGAAATAAAAAAAATTGCCTGAATCCTATCGAATGACTTTCGTATTCCTATTATAACAGAAAAAAAGTAGAAGAATCTAAAGAAAAAAATTTTTATTTTCTAAATGAAAAATGTTACACACCAAATATCATTCTATCTGCTTGTATACTGCTTTTTAAAGGCAAAACACACACACACACACACACACAAAGAATCGTCGTATCGAAAATAATAAATAGTAACGAGAATCCACTACATAACAAACAGAAAATAAAAGAATTGTAAGAATGAAAAGAAATTGATATATCGAAAAATAAGAAGTTTTTCCAGAAAAAAAATGTGTGTGTGTGTGTGTGTGTGTGTGGGCCAGAAAAAAGTTTCACATTCAGAGTTTATATTCAAGGCGCTACCCAGAGTTACCAGAGAGTTCCAATGTGTGTGTGTATTCCGTATTCGGATCCAACTAACGATATATATCGATAAACACACAGCCTATTGACATAAATGATGATCAATGTGAATTGTGTGATCATGAAATGTTGGAATGTTGGAAAGAAAAATAAACAGGAAAAAAAACGAAAAATTGAATCCGAATAAAACAGAATCATAGTAGTTGAAACGAATGGATACAAATATTGAAAGATGGACGATGATGAGAAAAAAACGAAAAAAAAATTCCAATATGATTTACATATGTGCAAAATGTTTATTTGATGATTGGTTTTAATCCAACTGTACCGAAATGACAATTATTTTTGGAAAAACACACAAAAAAACAGTGGTTTGTTTGACACAGGAAAATCCGGTAAAAATACGTTTTTTTTTTGCTGGTAGTGGTGTTATGATTAATGATTCTATCTATCTTTTTTTTTTTGGTTATTTTGGGCAAAACAAAATTCTAGTGTGTCAAAACAGCAACAAGGTCAACGATATTTTTTATTTTTTTTACGTAGGAAAAAAACATGACAGGAAACGAAAAAAAAATTGAAACGCCAAACAACGCCCAAACATAAAATTAACTTCAAAGATCATCATCATCATCATCATCCAAAATGCATACACATTTCAAATCGGATTCTGTAGGCCGTTTTTATTTCATTACATTATCCCATTGTTTCGTGTATCCAAAAAAAAAAAAAATCCAAATCCAAATACAATAATGTCATCTTTCATTCATTCGTTATAACGTGAAATCCGAGAAAGAATCTCATCATAAAAAATAAGATTCACACACACACATAATATTGACAAAATTCTTTTTCCTAAAAAAAAAAAACAGAATCGGATTAATAATACCGTTTTTTTAGCATTTGACATTGCCAAATTCTTTATATTTGTCCATTTTGTATATCAATAATTTTTTGGAGATTTCTTTTCACTCTCAACAAAAAGGACAAAACGATATTGAGAAACAATAAATCAAAAAGGAAATCCAATTGTGAAACGAATTCGAGAAAACAAATACCAAACGATCACCAGTCATTATTTTCGTTGACCGATTTCAATTAAAGTTGATATCGCAAAAAAAAAAAATAAAATATTGGACACCGAATGAACGAAAAAAAAAATCTTAAATCAATTTTCATTTTCATTTGAAAGCAAAAAAAAAATTCACATTAGCAGTTTTGTTGCAAAGATCCAATTATCATCATCAGTTTCATTTTCGAGTAAAGAAATGAAAAAAATTTCTATTTTAAAGTTTTCTGTTTTTTTTTACTGAAAAGAAATGTTTGGAAATTTTCTTTGAAAAAATTGATGGAAATTTATTCTTCACCAAAAAAAAAGTCGAATGAAAGAAAATTTTAAAAGTTCAATTTTTTTTTATTTGTGACCATTTGGTCATCGAATGTGAATTTTAAAATTCGAATTCCATTCCATTATTCAATGAATATCCATTTTCAGTTACAACGGAAAAAATTTGTGTTCATTCTCATCATCATCATCAACAACAACAACAAGACAGTGATGATTTGATCTTAATCTTGTTTTTGTTGTTGTCAGGCAAGTGTATCAAAGAAAAAGAAATCCAAAACCAAAACAAAAAAAAAACAACAACAACAAGAGACCTAGACAATGATGATGATTTCTTAGACAAACGATGATGACTAGTAGTAGCTAGAATGAAGAATCTTGTTTCATTTTGGATTTTTTTTCTTTTTTTTTTTTTTTGTTTTCGTTGATAACAACCATGTTGTGATGACCAAATAACAGTAAAAGTAGAAACGATTTGTATGGAAACTTTTTTGTTGTTGTTGTTTTTTTTTGTTTCCATGATGTTTCTTTTCTTGAAAATAAAACAACAACAACAAAATGAAAACAGTGGTTTTCAACCGTTTTTGGCTACAATCGGTGTTGAAACTTTGAATATCGATTATATCGATATATATTAAATTTATGATGACTAATCTATAATACCAGTCAGAGATAGAAAAAAATTATCTCTTTTTTGGTCTCTATATTCATAATGATATTCTGTTTGTTTTTTTGGAGAATATATTGGACTTGAAACATAGAAAAAAACGCATATACCGGTTCCCAAATGAACAATAAACATTGCGCCCATGTGATATGCAATACAATAATTTATGATGATAATGTGAACAAAAAAAAACAACGGCAAAAATTGAGCCATACGAAAATAAAAATGAATCTTAATATTCTTTATTATGAACCAAAAAGGAAAAACATGACCAACGATGGTTGACAACGTTGATGATGATGACATTGGAACAATAAATGAAAAAAAACGAGAAAAAAAGTAAACACATAAAGAATATCCAAATGTCCAGAATATTGGAATTTTTCATGTTTCATGCAAACAAAAAAAAAAACAGAGAGAATAAAAATGACAATATACATTTGTTGTTTGTTTGCTTGTCTGAATTAATTTATTTATATATTACACATAATGACAACCACGACAACCAAGGAAATTATGAGAGGGTGGAAAATGAAAAAATAAGAGATGAAGACCAAAAAAATCTCAGGTAACAGAATCTAGAATAATGAAAAGATGATGATGATGATGATGTTAAATACAAATGGATTTAGGTCAAAATAAAGGTCAAACATGCGTGCATTTGAATGGAAGGAAATTTGATACAATTAGTAAATTCGCAAAAAGAGAAAATCTTCAACTACAATGTTATAAAATGGGACAAAAAAAAATTTTTTTTTTGTGTTAATTAAAAATATGAAAAATTCTGTTAACCCTTTCATTTCTTTGCTGTCGTCCAGAATGATTCTATATATCTGCGATTCTTGTTCTTTAAATCAAAAGTGTGGGTGGATGGTTATGTTTTTGTCTCAAAAATCGACTATTAAAAAACCTGGTTCTTTAAAAATCAGATGCATCAACGGTGTTTTGTTGAGACCTCTTTCTCCATCTCACACACATATAGTGTGTCACTAGGGTAATTAAAATTAATTGGGTTTCGCATTTTTTTTCTTTCGCTTCTGCCGTTATTCTCTGATAATAATTGGTGCCCAAAAAAAAAACACATATACATTCCTTATCCTTTGGTCGTCGACCTGAATATGAATCGAGTAAATGAAACAACAACAACAACAACAGCAGCAAAAAAAATGATAATGAGATTTTCATTTTCACAACACGATATAATATTCATGGATGTTGTGCATGATGTTCTGATCAGTATGATGATGATGATGTCGAGCACATTTGTTGTTGTTGTTGTTGTTGTTCTTGTCTGTCTGTCTGTCTGTCTATTACTTGGGATGAAAAAAAAAAAATTTGTTCAAAACGAAAAATTTCAAAATATGCAAAATACATGAATGTGTGTGTGTGTGAAGGGCGATTTTCAAAATTTTTTTTTGGCCCCATCTTTCTTACCACACCGCCACTACCAGCTGCAGTAGCCTGGCGAAATTGATGACAAATTTTTTTTTTCGTTCATAAATTTCATGAATAAGAAAAAAAACAGCAATTTCTGTTCACATTGAGTAAATTTTTTTTTTTTGATTGATCGATTTTTGAATATTTCATTCGATCATCAACATCATCATCATCAGGATCATCATGATCATCATCCCACCACCAACACTACATAACGAAGTGATGTTTGTAACAGGCACAACACACACACACACACACACAAAATGTCCACATCATATAAATATTCATTGCATTTTTCATTTCTCGTATATCGATATCATCAAATGACTACACATCATAGATAGATATAATGTCATGGGATATCGAAAAGAAAAAAAAACGACGATGAAGAATCGATAACGAATCGATAAATGACAAATTTTTAAACTTTTGGACTGAAAAAAAACTTTATGATCAAAACCCATCAACGGAAACAAACAAACAAACAAACGAAAAAATTCCACATAGAATCGATCGCGGAAAACACCATTTTCCAAATCTACAGGAATGGATTTTGCATTTTTGAATTTAACGAATTGACGGCGAGGGGATTAATTAAAATTTTTTTTTCCGTTGCATTTTGTCGAGTAAATATTAATTTGAAATTTATCAACTGAACTGTAATACTATAGTGAATTTGAATGAGATGAAAAAAAAAATTTCGTAATTAAGTTTGTGAATGGTGGGTTTGTGTTGAACTTTTGGCCAGCAGAAAAAAAATCGAAATATTCATGGCTTGATTCAGGACGTTTTTTTTGTTGCTTCTGGAATTTTTTTCTCGTGAATGAATGAGATGGTGATGGAGAAAAAAAGTCAAACAAATAACCCGTTACTTGTCGAATGTTCATTTCGGGGAAGGCAAAAAAAGGTTCAATTTAAAAATTGTAACTTTTGAAAATAAACGTAGTCGTAGTCGTTGTTTTGGTTGCTGTTTTTTTTATTCACTCATGGTTTTCACAAAATTGGAATTGATTTTTTTTCTTTGTTCTGCCAGTGTGTTTATTCGTCAGAGAAGCAAAAAAAAATAAATAGAGAAAAACAGAATGTAGGAAAAATCCAAGCTAATTGACTCGTACAAAAATTTTGAAACGTGAAGTGTTCCAAATACACACACATACACAGAGAGACAAACAAAATGCAATCAGGTCAGAATTTGTGATTTTACATAATATTTACGTATACAATATGTGTATGGTATGCATGCTTGCACATTGCAATTAAATTTGAAATAGAAGAAGAATGGGAATATTGAATTGTTACAGAATGGAATTTATCACTATCTCTCTCTGTGTGTGTTTAAGAATATACTCATTATCATGAGTAGAATAAAGCAAGTCTCAAGAATCGAAAAGAATTAAAGAAAAAGATTGAATACACACACTGACACTATTTGTTTCTTCTGAATTGAATCATCAATGAATAATAATAATAAATTTTCATCGGCGACAAAGAAAAAATACAGAATATTCACAACAAAATTGTGTATTACTTACATCAATAACAATACCGGGTGTATCGTAAAACGTACGTGGCGATGTTTCATCAGCCGTTATGAAACGATACATTTCATCATTATCTTTAAACCATTTGATTGAATATATTTGATTATAATCAAGATCAATTACAGAACAATTGAGCCACATTGGATCACGATAGAATATATAATCAGGTGCCATTATACGTAATGAACGGATTGCATTTACATCTACAAATTAATGAAAAAATGTAATTTTGATTAGTTTCAACATCAATCAATGAAAAAAAAGAATAAAAAATTGTCAAAAATTGAAGATGACAAATTATTGTCCCCAGAATCGATCGTTGAGGAAAATTTTTCTGAGAAGAATTTATTTGTAAAAAAAATTCCTCATCATCATCATTTATTATTAGGATAGCTTATTAGTACATGGACCAATTCGATTGATCATCATTCATAATTTAATTGGCGAAATCAGATTTATTTTTGTTTTCATTTTTCTGTCTTGTCTGCTCTAATTAGGCGAATGATAATCCATAAATAACGTGATGTTTCACAAGTTGATGATTGAAAAAATTGTTTATTTTTTTCATCATCGTCATCATCATTAATTTCAAAAAAAAACTAAAAACTCAACAAACAAACAAACAACAACAATATGTTGAACCAGATTTTTTCCATCATCATCATCGTCATCATTATCATGAATGTCAATTTAATCCGAATGATGAATCAAACATCGTCCAAGATGCTCATACTCGACCACCCAGAATATTTAATCGATAATCAAACAATTTATGGACCATATCAAGGAATGATTTCCATAATATTCTTGAATCAATCAATCAATAATGTTACAATGAAATGTTATCATCCAAATCAATCGAAAATCGCTATAAATTCATTTATGGATCAAAAATTTCAATTATCAACAACAACATATCATGTCAATCAACAAAATAATCGATCAATTATAGCTGCTGTTACAATGTTGACAATAAAAAATATCAGCAACGATGATTATGGTGTTTATCAATGTAACAATGATCGAAAATTTGAATTAACGGGGCGGCCAAAAATTTCATTATTGAAAATCGATATGGGAAACATGATCAGCTGGAATGTCACATCACATACTGTGATCAAATCGCAACGTTTCATCATATGTTTAACTGGATCTGGTTGTCGAACAATTTCGATACGAAAACCAACACTGAATGATTGTAGCCTAAATTGTCAAATTATTGCTACAGCTGATTTCAGTGTGATACGAAATTCACATAATAAAACAATAAAATTATTTCTAGAATTGACGAATCGTTTTGGCCAAACAAAAAGTCAACCATTTCAAATACCAACAACAACATTGATCAGTGAAGATGATAATAATAATTCCATGTTTACAAGCATCACTGATGATAATCAAATAAAATTACAATTAATCTGGTCAAGTATAATTATCTTGATTTTGATAATTGTCGGTATACTAGCATGTCGTCAACAACAACAACAATTTGATTCGAACATCGATATTGATGATGTAATGATAACAACAACAACTTCTGTAACGAATTTGATGAATTCGATACAGAAGTCAGCGAGAAAAACATCATATCATCAAGAAGAATCAGATCGTGATGATGATTAACAAGAACAAAAACAAGAGATCCAAGATCATCATCATCATCAATGAGAATGGCCAAATAAATAGCGAAAATTTTCTTTTGTCCATCTATTGTGTGTGTTTGTGTATATTGTTGTTGTCCATTGTCATTGTCGTTAAAGTTTATGATGATGATCATTATTGTTGTTTACTGTTGTATTTTGTTGTTGTTGTTCCCAGTTGTTTATATGATATATAAATGTAACATTAGAAAAATTAATTGATAATAATAACAAGCGCGCGCGAGTCTTTGAGGAAATAAAATCGTTATATATGAATGGATAAAAGTATCACACACACACATTGATAATGATAATAAAAAATTCAATTCATATTTTCTGTTGTGCTAGGTCTAGTAATCGTGAATGAATTGTTTTCATTTTGCATTGAATCATCATCATCATCATCATTATGGGAGTTATCAAAAGAATTATTTTTTCATTCTCGGTGAAAAAAAACGAATATTGTTGTTGAATGATATTCTGGTACCTCAAAACAGAAATGAATTCAACCAAAAGAAAAGCCGATTTTTGATTGAAAGAATCGGATTCAATGAAAAAAAAAAAATGTGAATGAATAAATTTCAAAATGAAAATTCACTGTTGTTGTATACAACAATAGTAAACTTTAAACAGAATTGTTCATTGACTTTGAATCATCATCATCATCATCATTTTTTTTCCGAATGAAGATGGTGATGATGATCGCCACATTTGCCACAAATAACAATGATGATGATAATGATTCGTGACCTCAAAAAAAAAACATCTTGTTGGTGGTTGGTTTTTTTTTTTGGGTTGTTAATCTCATCACCATCATTATTGGTCCATTTATTTCGTTTCATTCTTTGATGGTTACCCTGATGATCTTCATGATGGTGATGAGCTCTCTGAAAAAAAGAATTACAATTGAAAATGATGATGATCATCATCATCATCGCCTATAGAATATATTCGGTGATGGAGTGAGTGAATAATAATCGAAAAAAATGAGTTTTATGTTTTGTGTTAGATGAAAATGGTAAAAAAAAAAATGATGATAAACAACAACAAATGAAAACAAAAACAAAACGGTTTCTTCCTGCATAAGCATCCTGTCTTTTGTTCTGAACATTAATGTGCACATAGAATTTGAGACACAAAACATCTAGTTTGGTTTGAATTTTCATCACTATCCTCATCATCATCATTATCATTACCATCATCATCAACAGGGTGTGTGTGTGTGTGTGTGTTAAATGTGTTAATAATGATATTAAAAATTAAAACTTGAAACTTTGAATATAAAAATCGGTGATTTTGTTTTTTTCCGTAAGTTTGTTTCTTCTTGATGATCATCATCATTATCATCGTTTTAGTTTGATATGAGCAACATTTTTTTTTTAAATTCCGAACATATGATTTGCATTGGACAAAAAAACTAACGTATGGTGGTGAATAAATCGCCAAGTTTTATTTGTTTTTTTCAAATTCTACTACTGGATAATTATTCTGGATTGAAAATGACACCAAAGTTGACAACAACAACAACAAAGAATGAAAAATACGTTTAGGACGTTTTTTTTATAATTTGAAAAAAAATAAAACAAAACAAGAAAATAATGATGATGATGACTTTTTTTTGAAGAAAATAGAAAAAAAAGTTGTTAATTTCACAGTCAAATGAATATCAACAGAAAGAAAAAGAATTCAACAAGCAATCACTAAAAAATCATGAATCCAGAATCTAAAAGAAGAATCCAAGCAAACAAAACAATAAAGTAGAATTAAAGTTTTAAGTTTTACGTTTGTTTTTCTTTTGTTTCAAGAAAAATAATTGGAAATGAAAAAAAAAAATTCAACAATACACTATGGATGGATGGATAGAATATTCATTCTTTCAAGTGTAAACCAAAGCAATGTGATAGCAAGACGACAATTCATCATCATTATGTCAACAACAACAACAACAACGAATGAACGAAGACAAAAAAAAATTGGCCATGTCTTTTTTTCAAGTCAGTTTTTCAGGAAGAATTCTGGAAAAAAATGGTTCCATTTTTTTTTGTCCCTGTACACAACACATAGAGAACACATTATGTGATCATTTCTCATTAGCGCCATACACATGATGATGATGATGACGACAACGATGGCTGCTGGAATTTGATTGATCCAGATTGCCAAAAAAACCCAAACACACAGAGAGATAGAGAGAGAATTATTATACTTGAACATTTATAATTTCCAAGTTTTATTTCGTTGAATTGAATCAACTAGAAAATGAAGAAAAAAAAAGAAATTATCTTTTTCTTTCCAAAACAAGAAATTGGCCTATAACAATACAAAAAGAGAGAGAGAGAGAGACATGTTTCACATACTCACACACACACAAATAACATGAAAAGAAGAGGCCAATCAAATATAGAAAAAAAAACACTAGCACTTTATAAGAAGCTTCACGTTATATAATCACATCAACGTGATCATCGTGATGATGATGATGATGATGGCAATTATTCTCTGTGTTTTGTTTTGTTTTCACAGTCATATCATCATCATCATCATCGATGTTTATACCCCAGACTAAATACATTTCCGAAACATGAGATTGTCTTGAATTCGGAAAAAAAATTCTTGAAGTAGAAAAAAAGTGTGAATAATAATAATAAAAAAAAAAAAGACCACACAAAGTATCTCTAGTGTGGAAAAACGAGAAGAGAAAATTCGATCAACAATGTAATCGATCAATCTATGAACCAAATTAAGCGCCTTTTTCATCACCATCATCATCAATATTATTGAAATGAATACTAAACGAATAAGGCAACAAGAAGAAAAGCTGAATTTTTTTTTCATTGCTTGTCACCTTGCTTGTTTTTTTTTCTTTATAAGAAAAGCATCATTATCATTATCGTTTCAGATTTTTTTTCTTCGTTTTTTTTTCGTCGTTGATTGTTTGTCAACGAAACTGTTTTGTTTGGTTGTTGTTGTCATCGATAAGTAAAGATTTGCTTCATTTTTGGATCATCATCGAATGGTGAATAAATCTTTCAAGCTCATCGAGTTCGTGTTGTTTTGATTCACCAGATCGAATGGAAAAAAAATGAAAAAACAAATTTGTGATTGATGTTTGGACATTTTTCATTTTTGTTTGTTTGTTTGTTGTGAAACATGAAACGATTCATATTTGACAATCGTAACGGAGTGTTTTGTAATGAATTTCAAAATTCCTAAAAAACACCAGAATTCCATTGCCTTTTGATTCAATTTTTTTCATCATTAATCTTTCTTGCACCATTTGATTATTACCGGATTCTATAATTATGCAACACACACACACTCACAAAGTAGTCAATAAATTGACGGCCCAAAAAAAGACAAACCACTCTTTTTCTGTTTTTCAAAAAAACGTGCGACAAACAAAATATTCATACAATTCGATTCTAGTTGATAATTTATTGATGAATAAAATGATCATTATGGCCAGGTTTTGAAAACAACAACAACAACAACAAAACGATGACAAAAAATAGGGACAAAAATGGCGAAAAAAATCGAAAAGGAAAAAAACAATATAATGAGGT